TTAGAAAAACTTGTTTTAAATGTATTGTATTCTGAAATTATCTGCTCAAACTATTTGAACGAATAGTGGTGCTGGATATTATGCACAGCCTTCACCCAACACCATGTTCATTCATTTATACACTTGCTTAATTATTTCTGATCTTATAGAGGTGATGGGAAATGTGATAGTGGGGATATGGCAACGACTACTGCAATCATCAGAAAACCTCCCTAGGCTTGTTTTGTTACATGGTTAAATGCTGTAATTAGTGTAATTATCTCTGACCCCCTTCAGTGCCACCCTAGTACTTCCATTATCAGTATTACATGGCTTAAAAGTGGATGAATCACCCATGTCTTCTAGCAAATTAAAAGTTGTATCTCAAGGTAGTCCATAATATGAGCAATAGGTTACAAACCCTCTCTGTAGCCATAACATCCAGACTGATCGACGAGTAAAACTTTGTGTGATTGTTTTTATGGTAAATTAAAAATCTAATGTTGTTGACAACTCTGGTATTTGTGTTTCTCATCCCGATGTCACCCTTCAGTCAGCGCCCCGTCGCGTTGGCGAGCCGCGCGGGCTTTAGCTTCAGCTCGATGGGGAATACGTCCCGTCCGGCTAAGTCAGCAGACGTCAGACTGGCCGGCTGGGCTGTGGTTATTTCTCTTCGCCTAGGCTTCTTATGGGCATGAGGACCAGTCACTTTGTCTCTACCTGAAGCTCGAAGTTTTGTCCTAGTTATTTTTTCCAGCAGCACTGTGGGATAAGACACAATCGTTATGGATTCGATTCGGCGCTTGAAACGCCACAAGGAAGCTGGTTTAGTACAGTTGACAGTTCCCCCTTCAAGGCGCAAAGGCCCCACATTTGTATCTAGTGAATATATGGCGTCTGGTGTCGATGCCGACCCGTTGCGCAGCCATGCTGATGGGTTGCCTACCCAGCAGATTCCAGGCCCCCAACCTCTGTCACGGCCCCAGAGTGAGACAAAGTCCACCCTGAGGTAAATGTTTGCCCCCCTTGCGCAATGCACAGGCTCAGCAGGAAAGCCGGGAGGGGGGGGGGAGGGGGTGACCATATAGACTTTAACGAGAAAAGATGATTAATAGTGCGCGACACAGGATGTCGACATGTGACGACACACCCTCGGCATGTCCGGCGTCAGAGTTTGGACGTGATAAGAGGAGGAACTGCACGGGCCACGCAGCCCCGCTCTGTTTTTTGGCAACCTGTAGCACCTGCAGCCCCTCGGCGTCAGATATGTAACATGCCTTAACTTGAGCCTCCTCGCCTAGCTCATCTAGGCCAAGCTAGCTCGCCTAGCCGTAGCTAACTGCTAACTCTATGCTTGCGGCCGTGTTCACGTTGATCAGCGGTAATTTTTCGGGGTCAGTTCGCGTGGGAGGTGCACTACCACCGCGAGGGGCTTTATAGACGCACGCCAGCACATCACATTCGCCGAGGCCAAAAGACGCGGCCGTCGCGATATCTGTTTCCCTCGAGAGTTTTTTCCGGAATTCAAGAGGTTTTCCTTGTCGCCTGCGGGGGAAGCCCCTTTTTTCGGCTCGGCAGCGACCATCATCACGACATCGAGTTCGACGTATTCGATACGGACGGACCCACGCCGACCCTTTCCCCTTTCCTGCTCCGGGGGTTGCGCCTTGGCCGATATAAAGCAGGACGGCGACCGTCGGCGCGCGTCAGTCTGAGCCCTTCCCCGCCGGCGCGGCGTGCTGCGGGGGAACGGGACCAGCACGGGGCTGCGTGGGCCGCCTCGTGCATCTCATTCGCACCTAGGTCGGTCGGTCGGTCGGTCCCCGGACGTTACGCTGCTACCATGCCGAGCTCGCTGCCATCATAGCAGGGCTGGCTCGGAGTGGGCGCCGCGCGCCGTGCCGTCGTCAGTTGCTCCGCGGCAGTCGCGCGGGGGAATACCCTCCCAGCTCTTCGAAAATGCAGTCGTCTGCCGCGGTTTTTTGGGAGGGCCGGGTAAGTCAGACGAGCGCCAGCCGCTCCCCTCCCCCTCTATTTTCTCTCTGTCCCTTCCCCACTCTCGCCTCGCCGCTACGCGACGCCACGTCTTACGAGGGAGAGAGTAGCGGGGTCCGCGCCCAGCCAGCCCAAGCCTGCCACATGTATAGTGTAACCCGTGCCTTCGCAGTGGGCGCCACGTCGGTCGCCCGCCCCGCCAGCCAGCCTCACGGAGGACCAGGAGGACTCCTCTCGGCAGAGCGTCGCGGTGACCACGCACTAAAACCACGTGGTCGCCGTCGCGTGTGGACTGCAGGTGAGTCACACGGTCACACGCACGGCACGGCGGACTCGTGTCGACCTGCGGCTCGACCTGCGGCCAGCAGCAGGGCTCCAGCGAGCAGAGCGGAGCAGCTGAGCGAGCCACCATCTAGGTGCAGTGAACGGGAAATGGGTGTCTCCAGTTTAGTTGAACACTCCCTTGCGGCTTGCAGAATAGTTACATTTTTTGTCAAATGACGATATAATTTCCAATAGTGCACGCCCCACTTCTGCTCTGTTCAGCTCCGGCGGCTGTGTGGGCCTTTTTGGCGACGCGTTATTCGGCTCTCTCCGATTCCTGACGCGATATAAGCTTGTGTTGTTTTGTCAACGCTTCCGGGTTGAGTCAGTTGTCCCATGACGACATCTTCAACAAACGTGGGACAGGAAAAGGAGGGAAGGGGGGGGGGCTGCCGCATGCTGGTAGTTTCAATGTGTCACGATGCTACGCTAGCACCAGCCTATCCACGTACCTGTTTCGCGTCTAAAGCAACGGTATATACAGGATCGAATCGTGATGCGTTTATGTCTTAAAGTGTCTATTGTTGCAGCAGTTTTGATGCGTGTTGCCGCATCGTTGACACCCCATGGAGTCGGGAAGGAGAGCGGAAGGAGCTGGACCGGAAGTGGCCCAGGACGCTGCACTTGATCAGGCTTAGCTGGCGGAAGGTCGCACTCTACGAACTGCTGTATTTGACCAGTTCGTAGAGTGCGGCCGTCCCCAGGCTAACCCGCACTCACGCGAGCAGACTGGACACAGGCCGCCGCACCAACGTAAGTGATTTGTTTAATTTCTCTCTGGAAATCATGCGCTTGGCCGCCGCCCTAAAACCTGCTATGAAGAAATGAGATTATTTTTCGAGAGTAAGGACCAGAAAGCCCGCCTCCTATTTGCAGGGGTTAAAGACTGACTGCGATAAAGCTGACAAGAAGAAGAATGCGGGGAACAAGAAAACAAAGCTTAACCAAAACGGTTTATTGTCATTTGTTGGATACGTTCTCGTGGTTTTTCAAGAGATCTGATTGGCTGATTTCTAACTAGAACATCTTCAACAAATGACAATCGCAGTCAGTCTAAACCCCGCGCAATCGAGGTTGCGCGATGGATGGACCAGGAGATCAGACGTCATTCCTCTCAGCTTCTTCACTTTCGACAAAAATGTCTCATTGTGCATTTTGCGATCATCTCTGTCAACCCGGGCTAATCATGCACTAGAGCCGCCCTCGAGCCTCGGCGAGGGGCAGAAGTTCTTCGACGGCCGATAAGGTGACCGCGCGGACCGCACCGAAGATTAAACAAGATCTATTGTAGTGTCACCGAGAGACTACATAGAATAGACTCTGTAGTCTCTTGCTGTCACCATACACAAACATGAAATTACACATCTTCACCAAGGCAAAAACTACCAGTTTGTTTTTCACTCGGCGATAAAGGGCATCATCCAGAAAGGACGTCCGTCATGCGCCGGTATGAACCTGCCAAGTTCAGCGGATGCAAACTCTCATAGCGCCGTAGTGGTAGGCAATATCTCGCCTGAAGTGCATGCATGTACTGCGGGGTGGCCTACCTTGAGTTTCGCCGTTTCGCAGACGCCGAGCTCCCGTTTATATACCGAATGAATCTGAGAAAAACGCACATACCTTCTCGAAGCCTAATAAATGTAACTACTCCGCCAGTGGTCGAAAACAAAGTTTCTCTACTACCTTGTCCATTTGACTGCCCATTGTCCGTCCGTCCATAAAGCACCAACAGTGGAATAAACTTTCAGACAGACTGACCGACAGACAGGTGGAAAAGAAATGCACGCATCAGATTACCTATCAGCGAGCCGCAATCCAGGCTCCAGTGGAAAATCAATTTAAAAATAAAGAAACAAAAAATTACAAAAAAAAACACAAATGGCGGAAAATTTAGGGGTTGATGGTTTGAGGGGGAGGGGAACAAGGCCGGTGAACGAACGGACAGTGAAGGCGAGATCGAACGGCTGCTGTGATCGAACGGGTCCCATTAGCTCTTATGGTGCTTTCGACTCCCCGTCCGCTCATCACTCCCGTTCGGTCGATTGTTCTATTCGCTCACTTTGGTCACGTGTCGGTTGTAGCTACAACTGCGTAGCTACAAACAGGGACGTATTATCACACTGCCACTTCATGTGTAAACAGGGACCAGACACTAAAAAGAGGTGGGTGGGAGAAGGGCGCAAAATACTTACGACCTACATATATCATGATGCCTTTTTCGGATAGGGCGGAACAGCCGTTCGAACAACAACGTACAACAAGAGGTGAGAAGTCTTGTGGGAGAGGGACGGGGAGGGCAGGGGGTTCGACCCACAAGGAGCGTTCATCCCGGGTCGGCGCTTTCGATGGCGCCTGCAACACGATGGGTAGGCCAGCCCGCCAAGCAGCCGTGTGCAGCCGGCGGCCCGCCCTCAGCACGCCGCCGGACGCCGTGTTGCACATGCACATGGGGTAACGACTGTTGGACTGTGTGGTTGGGCGTGTGTCGCGCAGGTCTCTGCGGGCAGAACACGCCGCCGGGGGGTATAGGCCACCCATCTGCGTCCGGTGTAGGGTGTTGTGTGTAACGCGCGGGCGTGCGCCACAGCAGCAGCCTCTTTGTGGTCGGACAATCAACACAACACCAAAGGAGGCGGCGGGCACGGGTTCTGGGTTGGGTTCTCGCTACGATAGCGCGGCGCCAGACTCCTGCGGTTTGCGTCCCCTTCTCTACCCGACCCTCATGGACCGGCAGCACACGCGCGTCAGTGAGCTCCTGTCGTCGTCACCGAGGTCGTCATGGCTTGGTCACGGCTCCCCCCAACGGCCGCTCCGCGCTACTTGCGACGATCAAGTCAATCTGCGAAAAGACCGTGCTGTTCAATATAAAGTCTATTCAAATTGCCCCCCCCCCTCGTTTCAGTTGGTTCAATACTGCTCCGCGCTGCTGTGCCGGCTGCGGCTGTGAAGAAGGTTGGAGGCGACAGATCGAGGCGCAATAAAGCTACTCGTCGGCTGGACTGGAAGGAACCGGTGGGAGGGGGGAGGGGGAAGACGTCGAA